CTCGCCTCCCCGGAGCTACCCCCTCCCTCCCCGCCCCCCCAGTGGCGCTGCCTCCTCCAAATGAGCGATTCGCCCGCTGGATCTAACCCAAGGACACCCGAAAGCAGCGGCAGCGGCAGCGGCGGCGGCGGGAAGAGGCCAGCGGTGCCCGCGGCGGTGTCCCTCTTGCCCCCGGCGGACCCCCTGCGCCAGGCTAACCGGCTTCCTATCAGGGTCCTGAAGATGCTGAGCGCTCACACCGGCCACCTCCTGCACCCGGAGTACCTGCAGCCGCTGTCCTCCACTCCCGTCAGCCCGATTGAGGTCAGTCTCCTGGTCGCTGCCCGCCCAGCGCCGGCCCCATTCCGTCCACCACTGCTGGGCCCACGACCCTGCTCCCTGCGCCCCGGGCTCCGTGCGACGCTCAGGTCCGGCCACACTGGCGGATGGAGTGAGGAGGGACGGAGAACAGAGGGATCCGAACCCACCTGGTTCTCCCTAGGCTTCTCCGGGGAAGGTTCCCCTTCCACACTCGCCTTGCCGAGCTACGTGTTTTCTCCTGGATTGGGTTTGCTCTTGGATTCTCCACTGGGTCCTTTACTTTTCCTCGGCACCCAGTTTCCAGGCCAGAGATGATCTCTCCTGGGCCTTTCCTGCCCCTACGCCTCCACCAGGGTTTGTTCTCTTTGAAGCCCAGTCGCCCCCGTCCCACTCCGCCTCTGTCCCATCCGGTTAGAGCGCCCTACGCCCAGGCACTCCCGATCCCAGGTCTTTCTTCCTCCCACTTCCCTGGGTGCCCTCCCCGGGAGGGAGGGGCTACGAAGAGAGCGCCAACGGCAGCACTGGCTTCCGAACGCGCGTCTCCCCGCTCCTACCCCGCGGCGCCACCGCCAGAATCCCGTCCCAAGCGAAGTTCCCCAAACTGAAGGAATAAGTTTTTGCCTAGACAGAGAGGAGGAGGAGATTAGAGGGAAGGGGGGCGAGTCACAGCCCCTCCCCCAGCCCCGACTAGAGAAGTCACCTTCTCCGGCGGTGGCCTTTGGTAGACTACTTCCACTGCCGTTCCCCAAAGCCTGTGGCGCATTACAGGACCCGGTGGAGCAAGGGATCCCACCGACGACGGTTAGTGTGAGCGCAGATCCTCCAGCTGCCCCGCCCGCCCAGCGCTCGCAGACCCTCTCTCCAAGGCCTTCCCGCTCCGTCGCGCCGCCTTGCGAGCTCCCTGAGCCCACCCAGTTCCCCAGCGCCCCGCTTGCCTGATCGGCGGGTCTCTAGTCTCACCCCCTTCTCCCTCCCCTTGCCGCTGTCTCCCACAGCTGGACGCCAAGAAGAGTCCTTTGGCGTTGCTGGCGCAGACTTGCTCGCAGATCGGCAAGCCGGACCCGCCGCCCTCGTCCAAGCTCAACTCGGTAGCGGCGGCCAACGGGCTGGGAGCGGAGAAGGACCCTGGCCGCTCCTCCTCGGGCGCCGCCTCCGCGTCTGCTGCCCTCAAGCAGCTGGGGGACTCCCCGGCCGAGGACAAGTCCAGCTTCAAGCCCTACTCCAAAGGCTCCGGTGGCGGTGACTCCCGCAAAGACAGCGGCTCTTCCTCCGTGTCCTCCACCTCCTCCTCCTCCTCCTTGTCCCCCGGAGACAAGGCGGGTTTCAGAGTCCCCAGCGCCACCTGCACGCCGTTTCCCCCGCATGGAGCGCCGGTCTCCGCGTCGTCGTCCTCGTCCTCTCCCGGTGGCTCCCGGGGCGGCTCCCCGCACCACTCTGACTGCAAGAACGGCGGC